ACAGGAAGCCTACACAAAAATAATTAATTATATGCTCTGAAAAGAAAAAAAAAAAGGAAGCAGCAGTGAAGAAAACTTCAGCAGATCTAATGGGTCTAATGGGTAGACAAATTATTTGTGTGCCAAAAAAGAGCAGTTGGAGAAAAATTGTATACATAAGACAGTGATGAAAAAATTTGATGTTGGAAGAAATACATAATAGCTATGTACAGATTTAAAACATATGCAACATTGTCATGTAACTCGGGGAAGAACTTGTGCTTAAGTGCGGTGGGTTTTGTTCTCAAGATAAAAATTAAAAAAAAAAAAATTTTATAACTTTCAGTAATCCATCCTCTCCACCACAGGCTATGTAACCTTGGTTATTCCAGGAAATACATTTTAATCGAATATTACCGGGAATTGCAATCTGAAAAAGAAGTATTTTGTATCTCTACACAGTTGCGATAACCACATTTTATTTTGCATCGTCTGCCTGAACACCTCAGAGACACCTACAACAGCACAAGAGATAAATTTATTTCTATTAACAGACCTGTACATGCAAAAAAAGAGAGAAGACAGAACTGTAAGCACTAGAGAAACTGTGCCGCCCTCAAGCAATTGAACTCATGCAGTAAATAATAATAACAGGACACCTGCAAAGGTGTCTGAGCAACAAAGACAGGCGGCAGGGGTCACACAGCGCACAGCGCTTCGGTCTCCAGCGGAAAAGCCGCGTCCAAAGCCTGTCGGGGGAAAAGCCGCGGAGCTGCCGGAGCAGCGGAGAGCGAAGAAGCCCCAAGCCAGGCCGAGGGAACCGGCGGGACAGAGCGGGGCAGCGCTCCGGGCGTGCCGCACCATGTCCGCCCGCCTCGCCCCGAGGCTCCCCTCAGCCCCCGCGACCTCCGCGCTCCCGACCCCCGGGACTCCCCAGGGCAGCTCCCCCTGCCCGAGGGCAGCCGGCCCTCCGCCGCCCCGCGCCTCCCCAGCAGCACCTTCTTGCACAGGTAGATGAACATCCCGGCGGAGCCGGAGCCGCCCGGGCCGGCCCTCACGGCAGCGCGGCCACGCCAGCCCCGCGTCCCCCTGGCAACCGCCAGCGGAAATGGCGCCGCTTCCGGGGGAGCGGCCGCCGCCATTAACGGTGCGCGCGCTCCTGCCCGGGCCGTGAGGGCATCTCTCGACCCGGGCGGTTTGGGAGTGCTCCTCTTGGTTAGAAAGCGAAAGCGCTGCCAGTTCGTTAATAAGAGTCACGCTGCTTTTACACGAAGAAAAATTCCAAAGTTTGCGAACCGCAGGTTGTCTGCGCGCGGTGTTTGTAGTGTAATTTACATCAACATAGAATTATAGAATGGTTTGGGTTGGAAGGGACTTCAAAGACCATGTAGATCCCATCCCCCTGCCATGGGCTGGGACACCTTCCACTAGACCAGGCTGGTCCAAGCCCCATCCAGCCTGGCGCTGAACACTTCCAGGGATGGGGCATCCACAGCTTCTCTGTGCCAGAGCCTCACCACCCCCACAGTAACAAATTTCTTCCTAATATATTACCTAAAGCTGCCCTCTTTCAGTTTTAAGCCATCCCTAATCAAAAAGGAAGGGGACGTAATCGTTGGAACAGAGAGCAACTAACAAGCTCTCAGTGATGTTGAGGTATTAGAAAGATAAATTACTTGTCGCTAATACTGCCATGTTAAAGGTTACAGCTGGACAAGTTTTGATGATCTCAGACCTAGGGGGAGGTTAATAAAGCTTGGGAAGAAGGATGTCACACTGATAATGGACACAAAGAAAGCAGAATTTATGGGCCACAAGGCCCACACTTGGCAGAGCTCCCAAGCTAAGAAAGAAAGGAATAAAGTCAGCTCAGCATTGTGCGGCAATCGGCTCAGACTGGGTAAGGGGTAATTCCAGCAGCAGCAGATTGCAACTGTCGGACCCAAGAAACCCACCAGCCCAAAAGCAAAGAAAGACTGAGCACGTGGACTAATTAACATGAGAAGCAAGAGAGTCACTAACCAACAGAAGGTAGAACAGCAATTAATAAAAGAACTATGTCACTTGTAGCACTGTAACTCCAGCGCCCATTGGCCTTTTGGTCTGGGACTGTGCAAGAATCTCCTCATCCAGGAGCGGGTGAGAGATGCGGAGATGCAACTTATGAAAAGAGACTATAAGAGGGGTTGATATAATATTATATAGATATGGAATTGGTATTGTGTAGTAGAATTTTTGGAAAACTCATACATGCTTGAGAGTGACAAGTGGAGTGTTATGAAGTCATAGTAAAAAAACATTTTCTTTTGGGTAGTAATGTGGAATACATTAATTACTATGTAAATAGTAATATGCCCTTTGGAATGAAGGGCAATCAGTTAAACCTTCTCCTTGTTCTCCATTAGGATATATTTTGAATCATTGGGACAAGTTTGGTGGAGAACTTCTTACAAAGTGGAAGTTAAAGGAATACTGTACTCAATGGTGGCCAAAATTGGATCGTGATGAAAAGTGGACAGAAATAGGAACATTACATTATAATAACATGCTACAACTGTTGTTTTGCAGAAGATTGGATAAGTGGAATGAAATCCTGTGTGTGGATTTATTTTTCTCATTGAGAAATGGTCATAAAACAAGAAAGAAATGCAGGTTATTGGTGTCTGATTCAAATGTGTTAATGATGATGGAAAAGAAAAGGAAATTATCTTGTTGCTGTTCCACTTGTAGTATAGGGAAAAGGTGTCTGAAAGTGGATAGTGAGGAGGAAGGTGTACAATTGTTGGTTTCTCTGAGAAATAATCAGGATAGTGATAATTGGGGCCAGGAAAGTAGTGACGGTAAGACTGGATGAAGGGATGCATTTAGTCCAATTGCAGGTAGAATTGGGCACACCAAAACTCTGTATATGTTAAAGTTCCCTTTTCAACCACTGATTTGATACATTGGAAGGAGTCTGCCAGGTTGTACTGAGAAATCCAGAAAAATTTGAAATTCCGTATGGTATATCACATAATGTGAATCTGACAGGAAAAACTGCCCAGATGATGTGGTAAGAGAGAAAGTTTTAACAGATTATCTCTCATCTTTAAAGAAAACCCTGAGATTATTACACAGGTACTTGCTCTTTAGAACAGCAGTCCCAGTCAAGTCACCAATATATTCTTTCAGGCGTGGAGATCAAGTCTACCTGAAAACCTGGAAAGATACTCCACTAGCTGAGAAGTGGAAAGGACCTTATCAGGTACTGCTAACCACACACAGAGCCATGGAATTGAAATGACTGGACTCATGAATTCATTACACAGACCAAAGGTATTCCTCCAACTTTGTGGTGGTCTTAACAGAAAGACCCCCAAAGCTGAAACTGACTCGGGACTCATGAACTGCACATGGACAAAAAGAATCTGTACTGCAATTTTACTGTATTCAGGGAGAAATTTTACTATGTTTTTGTGTTTTACTAAGTTTAAAAAGTTTTTATAGGCAATGTGCTGGATTTTTGGAACATCACTGAGCACCCAGGCCTTGGTGCACAACTCTGAAATAAACAATCAAGTCTCTTTTGAGTGTGTAATTATTGTCTTTAGCACACTGGATAATAAATCCAATTTTTCTGAACAACAATATGTCCTATTTTAAACAAGTAGTTTATATCATCTTGGAATTTTATGTGGTACTCACAAAGTGAGGCAGGTAATTGCTCAGAGGAATTGAATATAAATATTATCATTTGTGATATGAAATGAAGTTATGAATACTGGTGCATGAATCAAAGCCTGCCTAGCTGACAGCTTGCAAGATACATCTGGCCTCCAGGACAATATTCCACTATCCTATAAAATTTTACATCTCATCTGACAACTGGCTTTAGTGTAAATAGGACTGATGTCATCCCCACCCAATTGCCAAGAACTTGTAAAGTCTTGCATTAGATTTACAGTTTGTTTATTCTTACCAATTACAGAGGCCAAGGCATATTCTGTCCCTATAAATGCCTGTATAATACTCATGCCTAAGAAGAGGACATGAAAGTAAGCAAAGTAAAGTGCTGGATATAAAACTCCATGACTTGGAGAAATAAAAAAAATATGCATGCACAGCACTTTGAGGAAGCAAGTGTAGTATAGCCAGGACGTCCCATGCTAACTTTAATTGTATTAAAGCAAATTAATGTCAGTACAGGGACACACCACAAAATACCAAGCACAGCCAAATCCAGCATTCTTGGAGGGTTTATAGTCTCATTTTTTTGCCCTTGCACAGCTGAAGCTGTGTCCCACGTTCACTTGTGCTGTTTCGTGTTATATTCCAGCTTAACATCACTGTGTGGGCATACCTGAAGTCACAGTCCCATGTGCAGTGAACATAACTGAACGTGCTTGAATGTGGTATGTGCAGGGTGTGAAACAAGTACAGATGTTGTTTAATATGTCCTTGGCAAGCCAGTTACCAGATATAATATTTTGTGTAATTATATTGCAAGGGTCTACAAAATATGTAGGATTTTGACATTAAAAAAAAACCCATTGTTTTGACTCCTAATGTAAATATAATTTTTTAAGTATTTGGATGATTATAAATGCCAAGTATATAAAATTGCATTCCTTTAACAACTATTTTTTTTTAATTGTTAGCTTGTGTGTTTTATCCTAAAAGCCTGATTGACACAAGTGAAGTTCAGTAAAGTCTGTAATGACAACAGGAACAACTGACTAAGAACAAAAGTAAATCTTGCAGGATAAAAATATTAAATTGGATGATGTCTTTCATTCTTCTACATTTTAAACATTATTAATACTTGAAATTACTGTGCAATCTTTTATCTATATTTACAGTAACATCTAGGTTTTAAAATCAAATATTTCTTTTTCAAAACATGTGACTTGGGATAGTATTGTTTATTTCTTCCACGGATGCCTCCTTTATCCTTGAAGTTTTGTTTCCTTGGGTTTTCTAAACCCTTTATTTCATAACACATGTCCTTTAGGTTGAATACAAAATAATTTCCAACACTAATGTGCATATCATATTGTCATTTATTAAAATAAGTTACAAGAACCAAACTTACTTTCCCATTTAATTGAAAGAAGACATAGGCACATTTTTGCATTCTGCCTTGCCATTTCAAAGCTTTATATAATGTGATATACTGTATCCATTCTTTTTTTTTTTTTATTTACTTTGAAGTAAGAGAATAAAAAATGCAGTAACTACAGAAAAGCAGTATCTGCAGTAGAAACTGAAGCACAGCAAGTATGAGTAGCTTCATGGCTGTAAAGTGACTGAACATGAAGATCCTCAGGGTCACTGTATTTTCAAGACTCTTGTCTTCCTGAAGTCTTCTTGACATTTGTCAGTAATAATAAACCACTGCTGTTTTGTAAGCTGTGCAATGAAGTAAAGCTTCCTGAAAACAATAAAAAGGCTTGATTCTGAAAAATTATTTTAAAATCAACCAAAATGATAGCTCAGACAATCTGCTGTCTGTCTTGATATGCCTGCAGCTTCTCAGACACTTCCTCTAGTGCTCAGTTGTTAAGGGCAATAAAATAGATGGCTATAAGGTTTGTTTTATTTACAGTCTTTCTCATTGCTGCATTTTCAAAAAACAATCTGCTTTCTAGATGAAGTCAACACATGCTTGAAACAGAGATTCCTAAACATATTAGACTTCTGCCAAGATCTGGCATCTTCCCAAATAATCTCAACAACCCTAATTTCTTAGAAAAAGTTGGATCAGGTGATACCCAGAGATGAGGAGCAGAAGGTGATGGTCTCTGCCATGTTTTGCAGATTGTCTTGAAAGGATGCTGGGGATAGAAATGGCCCATCAAAGAATAACTTTGAAAGAAAGCCTCAGTTCTTTGTATAAAGTCTATTCCTAACTTAAACCCACACATTTTCTTACTTAACCTGAGGTCTTAGGGCAGAAAGATTGATCTCTGAAGGATGTTCTACTACTGAGATGACATTACAGGTTTAAATATCTTGGTGTTCAGATTTAACTAATTAGATTCCCTAGAATTATATGTTATAATCTAGGAAAACCAGAGTTCTTCCCCTTGCTTTTCCCAGGCAGATAAACTGAACTCCAAGCACACTGCATGAAGAGGGATGTGCAATTAGATCTCATAAAAATAACTTTGAATTTATTCAAAAACTGGGAAAGTTTTGTGTCCTTGGCAGAAGTGTTTATTTGACTTTCAGAAACTTTGGCAAACTGAAAAATTCTTGTATCTATCTAAATGTTGTATAAAACACACTACTTTTCTCTCCCTTTTTTTAATCTTCAATAGTCCACCCTTCCTTGATTTTGAAGCCTCAGAGATTGGGATGATAACCACAGGCATAATGCTTCTTTAAATCAATTCCTATTTGAATAAGAGCACCTTTGACAGAAAAAAAGCATTCCGTCTCAAAAATGCTCAGCAAAGAAAATCTGTGACCTTCCTTGGTAAATTGTAGCAGATCAACCACTCTCACTTCTAAAAATTATGCCTTATGATGTACCACAGCTTGTCCAACTTCAACTTCCAGTTATTAATTCCTGCCATGTCATCTGAGGGCATTTATTCAGCATCCAGGCTTGCTGTGGTACAACAGAGATCACCACTTTCTCTTTGTTTATTGGTTGGGGTTTTTTCCTCTCCCACATGTTTGTGGAATGTCTGGTCCGGGGGCTGACCGCGTTTCCCTTCCCGGCTGCAGACGCGGCACTGCACAAACGCAGCCGGCAAATTCCAACCCCAGCCTCACCTTGGGGCTCCCGAGGGCACAAGGCTTGCCCAGAGCCTCCAGCCTCAGCACCCTGCTCTGCAGCCCTCTCGTGCTCCTGCATGCCTGGATAGGCTCACACATTTTCAGAGAAAAGAAGGTGCTTGTAAATCATTTGGGACAGTGCCTGCCTGTGGAGGTGGGATGCAGAGGAATACCACAGCTCATGGGACTGTTGTCGTACTGCCCGTGAAGTTGTCCCTAAAGTTTTGGGACACAATAGGGCTCAAAACTGAATGTTTGATGTAAATGTAAAAGCCAGCTAGAAGAATTATGAGTTCAATGAACAGTGCTTGATGTTTGACATGGCAGATACAATTTAGGGGGTGCGGGCATATGCATTTATTTTATCTGTATGGCGTTGCTCTTCAATGCAATGTGAACATAGTGGTGTTTGCAACACCCGATCTTTTTTTCCATAATATTTCTGAAATCATCCTGACAATACTTTCTTCCCTGGATATTTCTTCCCTGGTTTGTAAAAAAACAGCTACCTCCAAAATACCAGGAAAGTGCTGAATGCAGGTGATCATGTAAGAAAAAGGATATATTTTGTGGATAGAGCTTCAAGGTATGAGGTCACTGAGTCCTGGAGGGCAGCTATGGCTTCACACTTACAGGACTCTTCATCAGTTACAAGACTGCTCGTTATGGCTCCTAAGAGAGAAAACAGCATTTACTATATTTACTACAATTATTGAACATTTAAATCCCAAGAAAATGCTTGATCCTCTGGAAGGAGTCAAACCCACGATGTGAGACTACAGCAAACACTGCAAGCCAGGTGGGAAGGAGGAGCAGCAGTGAACAGGGGCTGCTGTGTAGCCAGAGACCTGAGTGTCATAGTCCAGGACAGGCAAAAGAGAGCTCAACTTGAACCAAGAAGGAAGCAGAGCAGGATGTTCCTCACCTGCACACCTGGAACCTCTACATTCTTTAAATTAGACCATTACTGAGAAAAAATAAAAATAAAAAAGGGCCTGGCTGCAGAGACCACCCAGCCTCCCCATCAACTTTTATTGTGTCGCCCCACAAGTACTCTTGGTTTCTAACATTTGAGACTTGCATGCATAGGGAATATCTTTCTTGATTCAAGAGGATGGACACAAATCCATTCAAATGTCACATGAATATAGATGGAGCTAATTATGCCATTCAAATAGGCCCAAATGAAATTATAATCTAGCAGAAGATCACAGCAATCTAACCGGAGGAGCCAGTTAGTATCACAGAGGAGTTACCAGTCTCTTCAGAAAGGGAGGAATCATTGCTATACTCCACAGTGCTTTCATTGAATCTGTTCCTAAGTCTTGACCTCAGTCTTCCAAACTTACAGGGGATCAGCCTCAGCTGTCCTTAACAATTCCTTTTTCTCCATAATTCACAGGAAAAAACCAGCAATGATGACAATTTCACTGTAGTATAATAATGTCAAGCATCAATAGATGGCTGTGAGTTCTTAGCTGCATGAGAGGCAATTTAACCTTACCTACCCCATAAAGTAAGTAAGTTAAGGCTGCACCACTTCACTGAAGGCTGAGAATAAATGTATCAACAGCTACAGCAGCACAGGTACTGTAGTGAGTGAGTTCACCATCCACATCTGAGACTGGAATAATAAGCTTCCAAAAGCAAAGCCTTCTTAAAAGAGAGCTTACAAATACATTTTCAATAAGTTATCAAGATGTATTACCTGTGTATAATACCCATCTCTTAATAAAAATGGGCTTTTTACATTACTTGCAAGGGTAACAATAGCCTATTAATAAATTTTGTTTTCTCTAGATATATAAATGCATAGCTGATCAATGTCAAACAAGGTGTGTGAGCATTGGAACAGTAAGAAAATAGAAATATTATACCTAAGTACATTTCCCTTTTTTCCTGAACTGTTTTAGCTTTTTGTTTTGTTTTGTTTTTTTCTTTTAGCAGTCATGCCATTATTACTCCCATTTTGCAACAAAACTGCAAAATCTATGAGGTTGCAGACTTGGCAGTGCAGAGGCTCATTTGTCTTAAAGCCAAGTTTGAAATTTGTGTCTACTTGATTCCACTGAGGCTGTATTTGTTCAGCTCCCCTCTTTGGAACATTCCACTGGCTTTATGGTCAGTGTACAAAGAAGAGCTGTTCAAGAGTCAACTGGAGGAAGGCCAGTTCAGAACATCACACCAACATGCTTGGTTTCCAACCAACTGCCAGTTAAATTTTATGTCTGCATTTAAATTCTCCAATGACAAATACAGATCTTCCTTGGATTTTGTCTGTTTTAACAAACTTATTTTCCCAACCATCTCTCTGGCAATTGTCCAAGGGTGTTCTGAATTCTTCTACAGTCATTCTGTGAAATTAAGAGTCTTCCAGTATTTGATATTCAAAATTTGGGGTATTCCTGTTGCCACTGGGATGCCCAACAAGTCACAGAAAACATGTTAAAGCTGTGTTTTTACACTGCCTTTGTGGTAAACTCCAGATCAACAAGAAACTATTTTTGCAGATGGTGTTTGTCTATATCCACCTATTTTATAACTGTGCTCTTACACAGCATCTTCAGCCACTTGATGTGATGGCAGGTTACTGCCACTCTGAATAGGGGTACAGCTAGGCAGCTCTTGAGGTCCCTTCCTACCCAACTTAACTAATTTGGATTCTACATCAAACTGTGGAGAGGTTCTGCCAACATTGGATCCCAGTATTGCCCATCTCAAAACAGTTGGTGAGTTCATTCTTGCCTCACTCAGCTTAGAGGAGACACCAAGAATACATGGTTTAGCATTGCAGCAGTTCTAACCTGGGTATTGTTCCCCTGGGGACCCCCCAGCCATTCTCCAAATGCAGGTAGGCAATGGAGAGGCAAGTGCCCCAGAACCCTGCCCTGCATTCAGGAATGCAGATTATATTTTTAAGTACAGTGAGTGAGTCCTTCAAAGCATGATGACAGATAAGAGACAACATTAAACTAGTTTTAAATACAGTAACTGCTATAACTATAGAAAAAGGAAGAGACATAAAGAAGAGGCATAAAAGAATGAAAAGGAATTATACTTCCTGAGAGCTTGTGAGTTGAAAGACCATTTCTCAAACAGATTAAAAATGTTTAACACATTAAAAAGAGGTGCTTCAATAAATAAACATATTCAGAAAAAACCCCGAACATTAAGTTATTACTTGAGCATGTTTTGTCATCTGAATTTAAGATAAAGCCTTCATAGCAGTGACAGGTCTATGATCCACTCACACAGAGCTGCTGGCAGTCATAGGTTCCTGGTGCACACACACCAGTTGACACAGCATGTGCTTTGGAGAAGCAGTTACCCAAAACCAAGATAACATTTCTTAATGCTTCCCAATGGCAATGCTTTTCCATGCTGGGAGCCTATCCTCTATGAATCTTATCAGGAACTGCTGAGATGTGTAACTGATCTCATCTTGGAGCAGCAATTGTCTTACTGGGGATTAATACATTAATTAATGCAAGGGATACCTCAGACCTTGCTCCCTCTGACCCAACTGTGTAACCCCACCAGATGTGAGATGCCACATCAGCTCCAAAGGCACACTAGGAAAGGTTTCCAGTACACAATAACTTTACAGTAAGGAGACTGGGAAGGGAAGGAAAGAAACACTTCTGAAATTTTTATATTTTTACTGCAACATAAAGTCACTGGGAAGCTAAAGAAAGGAACAGCAAGATGAAATTCAGCCTGGAGGGGTGGACATCACCTCAAAACTGTCTTGCATGGTGGTACACACATTCCACAGTGCTGCAAAGTGTGTGACTAACCCCAGCTCTTCTCAACAATTTGTCAGTTCTGGGTTTGCTGAATATTACATAAATCAGGGAAGGCCTTATTTATAAGTTGACAAAGACTGCATGGTGAGTATTTACTAACATTGTTACATATAAAGTGCTTTGTATCTCTGACATTTACTCAAGTGGGCAAGGCAGAGTGACATAGAACTTCTCTTTACGCCCGAGTGCAGGTGAAAGCTCCTCAGGCACATACAAATATATTCACATGCTAACAAGAGCCACTGCAATAGACGCACTTAGCTGGGGAGGGCATGGCTGGAAAGGGATCTGCAATCTGCTCTTACTTGAGCACGTCCTCCTGTCTGGGTTGGGGGAGTAGGCATTCCAGAGAGAATATCAGGCACACACAGCTGAGGGAGGCATTCCAGAGAGAATATCAATCCATATCCAAACTTTAGAGCTGGTCACAGTGATTCCCATATTCCCATTCGTAAATGTATCGTAATTTGCATTCAAACCAGGATGTTTTTACTGCATGTCAGTGTGCTGTTAACCAGAGCAGGGTGCACAGAGTGTTTTTATCTGGCTATCAACGTCACAAAATTAGTGTGAAATTTTGGAATACTGGCAATACTTTTTTGCAGCTGTAACAGATGGCAAAAGGAATGGAATGGCAAGTGAAGTTACAAAACAATTATCCAACAGAATTTCAGAGAACAAATGTCTTGATTTTAAGAGACTATTTGGCATTAATTCAGCTCTAATTGAGTTGGAGAAGACACTGTTTTATGGAGTGAAAAGACCATGAACAGAAAAGTATATGTGGCTGCTGAAAAAGATGTGACACCCACTGCCAGTTACAAAGTGGGCACTTCATGTGTGAGGCTGCTGTTTTCTGCCAAATTAAACACGTCAATTCTGAAAGGGCAAGCTGAGAAGGAGTTTCTATATTTGGATATCTTTGCAGTAAGAAGGCCCAGTAAGACACAAGAAAAAATAAAGGGTGGAGAAAGAAAGGAAGAGAGGAAGAGAGAGAGAAAAGAGAGCAAGAAAGACAGAAAGAAAGGAGAAGGGAAAGGAAGCAAAGGAAAAGAAGAAAAAATGAAAAGGTATAAGAAAAGGGGGAAAAAGACCCTCTCCCAGACCTAGATTATTTTTGCATTATTTTTTGCACATCTTTGTGAAATAATTGCGACAAAGACCTGGATGGTTGGGAAATCATTAGCAGGATACTGCAAAATGAGATTCAAAAGGGAAAAAAAAGCAAGCATGTGAAGAAAGTACTTTAAAGTTTGAGTAAGCAGAAGAAGAATCAGTGCTATGAAATAAAGTTTGGGATTAGACTCCCAAAGGGGAGGCCTGACCAAATTTACATTCCATCACATGTGTATTGCCTCTCTGTAATGCCAGCTAAGAGCTAATCCTAAGCACCATATTTACAAAATCAGCTCCTAACCTAGGCAGGAAGAAATACTGAGACCCTCTGGCTTCACCTCTTTGAGATGTGAGACCTGTGACTTACCTTGAGAGATTTGCCCAGGAACTTCCTGGAACTGGAAGCCTAAGATCAACAGTTTGTCACACAAAATATAGTAAGGAAAGGGATTATAGTGGAAGTGGGGAAAAAAAGGATTTTGCCTAAATAAATCACCTAAATAAATCATGAGATGTCCAGAGAAATTCAGAGTGAAGATCAAACCCTAATCAAGTGAAGATAATATAGAATAGATAACAATTTGTAGATAATGTATACCCTGAGTATCAGCTACATCTATGCTCTTGTTCTCCACAAGAGACCAGCACTGAGAAGGAACATTTCCCTCCATCTTCTAGAGCTTTAAGGCTGGAATACTTTTTAAGGCCCAAAAGCATCCACCAGAATGAGCAATCACACTCATGATAGAGACTGCAATCATTCTTCCAGCACAGCCCATGCTCTCCTGCTTCTCATTCCTTTGTGCTGCTTTACTGGAGATTTTCTGACAGAAGTGGTCCACATCACATACTGGATATGGCAATTCATGCTCCCTGGGTGTGAAAATACTGTGAAGTCCTCAAAGAAATGCCAAATGGCATTTTAATTTTAACCAGATACAAGCTGCACACTACTGCAGAAGGGCCAAGGATCTCAAATTACTACTCTACCTATGGAAAAACAAAGTTGCCCTGAGTTTTCAGGAGTTGTACAGAAACTCTGGGATAATTTATCAGAAAAATAACATCAATTTGTCAGATTTTTAAAAGCTGCTTGCTTGTAGTGGAACACAATTTTTCCTTGATCAGATCTTACCTGAGCAAGTCTTCTTGTCTGGATTCAGAGTGTATCCTTCATAGCAGCCACAGCTGTAGGATCCATCATTACTCAGACAGACTTGGGCACAGTCGTGCCTCCCAGGAGCACACATGTCCATGGCTGTGAGCAGCCATGGTTTAGGAAAGAAACCTGTTAATCCCTCCCAGATACTGTTTGAAATGCTCAACATTTTTAATTAGAATTTCCTTATGATTTAACCAGTGTCCTCCTACGTTATTATATAAATTCATTATTAATTATTATTTGTTATTAATTATTTAATGGAGGAGGCAGATACTGCAAGACATGACTACACCACATCTCATGCAGTTCTGTCTTTCATCAGCAATTCCAACAGTCCCATACATCCCCAGTAAGGATGAAGCTAAAAACCCACATGAGATGAGCAATAACCTGCCCTGTGTCAGACTAAGCAGCTAAACAACGTTTATGGAATTCTGTGAAGACCATAAAATGGTATATAAATGCCAAACTGCATTTTCTAATCATCAGATTTGAAGAAAAATGCACTGTTACTGTTATTGAAACAAGGAAAAGACTACAGCTGAGTTCTCATTTTAGAGTAACTCACAGAAAACATGTCCATATCTCCATGAGTTTCATATGTTCAAGCAGCCTTTAATTCTTACCTGAGCAAGTTTTCTTGTCTGGATTCAAGGTGTAGCCTTCATAGCAGTCACAGACATAGGATCCATTGTTACTCACACAGATCTGGTCACACTCGTGCCTCCCAGATGCACACACGTCCACAGCTTGTTAGGCATGTTAGAGAAACAGCTCATTGTTAATAACAAACAGGTTGGGATGGAGTGCACAAACCTATTTTTAAATATATTTTGATTTGGAATCAGCTCAGAAATGGCAATAATAATTGAAGGAATTAGGACAAGAGGTAGGAGAAAATATATAGTGTCAAATATATATTTGAAGAAATGTAGACACTATAGATATTTTGTTTTAGCATCTGGCCCTAACGAATGGATCTGTAGGCACAATAAAAAAGACAGCGATAGAATCAAGCTACATCTCACCATTACTTGCAGCTGAGTTTTATTTATTATTCATTTCTAGAATTCTTATTGAAAAAGATACAGATGTTTGTTGCTTCAACAGAAGCACACACATAGCATCTCAAATCCAAGAATAGTGTTAATTTTTTTTTCTAGTCGAACTCATTATCCAAAGGAATAATACCTGAGCAGGTTCTCTTGTCTGGATTCAGGATGTATCCTTCGTAGCAGTCACAGAGGTGGGATGCCCCGTTACTCACACAGACCTGCTGGCAGCCGTGGGTCCCCAGGGCACACGCGTTCGCAGCTGCAAAGGACACGGACAGAGAGCTACTTCAGTCATCCCAGAGGAAAGGAACAGCCATTACTCATTCATGCTCACAGAAGTACATCTTGCACTGTTTGCTGGATTAGTGGTAGTACATGTCAGTGCTGTGTTGCTGTCACAACAAGTTACAGCACTCCTTTGCAGCACTCCATAGCCAAGAGAGAGAGGCCATAAATGGCACAGAAATAACCCATCACCTGAGGTGGCAGCAGAAAAGATGAATTGAAAATGAGATGGTTCAACAAGGAGGGATATTGAGCATTCAGTAACATTACACAGGAAAGGAGAACTCAGGCATGAAAAGCTCTTCTGGCTCTTTGTATGCAGTTCCTTTGTATTATGGGAAGGGGAAGGGGAAGGGGAAGGGGAAAGGGAAGGGAAGGGAAGGTTTTACCTGAGATTTTTACTTAGATTTGTAGTTACTAATTAGTATTATTGTGGGTATGGACTACTGGTAAAATCAATCTCCAAAGCACTACTGGTGAGATAAAAAAATCAGAAGCAAGAGTGCTTAAACCTTCTCATGTGTTTCTGAAAACAAGGCAATTTTGTGGCAACAAAATGGCAACATTCCCATTTTCTAAAACAAGGAAGATTTAGAATTCTTCTAGAAAGGCTGACAGAGTTGTCTTGTCTTTACATTTTACATGAACAAAATCTCTGGGTGATCTTTTCAAGCATAAGTGAGAAGCTCAGACTCAAATGGTTGGATTTTTGCGGTAGGACAGTCAAACATCCACTGACTTGGACAGCTATTCAAGGCTAAGACTTTTCCATCTCTGGGATGGCTTCATTCTGAATAATGCTCTCAGTGCATCAAGAACTTGATCTTAGCCAACTATTTTTCCCCTGAACATTAATTTCCCTGTTTTCAGTTCACCCTGCAAATAAATTAATTGCCTTGGTCAAAGCAAAAGAAAATCCTAATTGTCACTGGTGAGTCCAGATTTCTGACCAAAAAGCACTCTGGAGCTGTAAAGAGACCCAGTTTACCACACTGTCTTAAAAGACCCTCTTAGATTCATAGGAGTCTTTTTAAAGACTGTTTCCTTCACCCTGTTTTTTTCATGAATCCCAGATTCTGGCAAATTGCACGCAGGCGACTCAGAGTTCCACTGGAAGTGTACATGTGTGAGCTCTCTGATTTACCCTCCAGCCTTGCAGGGGCGTAATTTCTATGCCTCAGCACAATAAACAGTTTATTTGTAAGAACAAGAGATTTTCCTTTGCTGCTAAGAAAGGACTTGCTTTGCTGAGAACATAGGTGGACATGAGTGCTGTGTTCACAGCGCACGTACCTGTCCAGCCAGGTGGGCACTGGTGAGGATCCGGTCACACCAGCAGCACAACGTGGTGTCAAGCCAAACCTCAAGGCATTTCCTATGCTAATTATTGGCAATGTGTCCTGCCTGCAGATGGTCTTACACATTTATTTCATACCTAGAGAAAGAGGTTTTTTCACTTTAAACACACTCAAAAAGTGTGGTGGTAATTTTTAGTAAGGCTCTGAAATAACAAAAGTAACACACTGCCAACCAAGTTCCCAAGGAAGTGGATATTATTTTAATTCTTTTACAATGTCATTTATACCTATTTTACCTATTATTTGCTGGAGATTTATTTTAAAGTAAATTTCTTAGAAATTCACTAGAAAAATCTACTTTGTACAAGTTTTTTAATTGTCAGAAAGTTGTCATTTGATTTTTGTGAGTAGGGCTATGTCACAGCTATCTATAGGCAATTCTAAATAGTGCCTATAGATAGGACCTTTTTTCCTTGTAAATGACAGTAACAGCCCACTCTGGCCTAGCATTGTTAGTGGAGTTCTAGCCTAAACCAAATACATAGCGCATTTTTATAAGATCAGCCCTGAAAAAGCAAAGCTAATTAATCTCATCCCACAGCTCCTTGTCTAAATCAAGTTGCAGAGAAACAGAGGGAGATGTGAGCCTGGCACGTTGGAAAAGCCCAGCAGTGCCTAAGGAGTGAAAGCCTGTCCTGAGATGACCTGCTGCTGCATTTGGGCATTTTATCCTGCACCAGATTGCTCAAGCCAGTACAGTGGTTTACCTGCCACGCTGATTATCCTACTCTGAACCTACAGGGAATCCCTTCAGCTCCACATGCCCATCCTCCTTGCTTCCCAGTGAGATGGGAAAAGAAACGAACAGCCTGCACAGCTCTGGTGTGTACCTTCAGCAATTCACTAAATATATGCAGTCAAACCTTGTCCAGATTGCTGTGATTTCTCTTTCTCTCTAATTCTGACCAACTGCACAAGGAGGTCCACTCGAGGCAGGTCTGTCACCTACACTGAGGTCACTATTCAAAATGAAAGGCCGTTACTTGGCCTCCACTGAAAAAGAGGGTTGGCTTGTTTGCCCAGTGGGTGGTAAAGGAAATATTTAGATGTGATACATAACACTTCTGAAAAACTTCTTTCTTAAGGAGTGGAACCGCAGCAGCAGTCAAAAGAAGCCAAGTTACACCACTCTCTTGGATTGCTCCCCTTACCACAGAAAGTCTCCCTGAATCTGGATGTCAGCTTTTCGATCACACCATAGGTCTCCACATAGAAGACGTGTTCATCCAGAGGCTCGCTGGCCATCGTCCTCAGGGACTGCATGTCTGCCCGGTCCACCCCGACGGCGTAGATCTCGATGCCGGCTGTCCGCGCGCTTGCCGCCACGTCTTGAACCTGGTCTTGTGGCCGTCCATCCGTCACAACAATGACCACCTTGGGGATGTTGAAGGTTGCTGGCCGGGTGCCCATCTCCTCGGTGAAGACTTCTTCCATGGCAGTTTGGATGGCAAGGCCGGTCATCGTGCCAGCAGACAAGGGCTCGATGCGAGACACAGCCTCCTTCAGAGAGGCTTTGTCAAAGTAGGTCCGGAGGGGAAACTCCACCTTGACAGTGCTGGCGTAGTTCATGACCGCCACACGCGTCGTTCTTTCACCGACATCCAGGGTATCGATCATTTCTGACAGGAAGATTTTCACCTTCTCAAACTCTTCAGGCCGGACGCTGCGGGAGCTGTCTACGATGAAGACGAGGTCTAGAGGCCGGTTCTTACAGGCAGTGTCTGCCAAGAAGGAAGGAAAATGCTTCAGTCATCTCCTACACGGGACAGGAGCTCTCACCCAAGGGCAGCGAGTGCTGTCATGGCAAACTACTCCTGCCAGATAATGCTGGTTGATTCGTTATGAAGAGGCTTCAAATTATAGTGAATAACATATTAGAGAATCGCAAATATTAATTTTGACAAGTAATAAATAACTGGGGTTTTTTAAGCATTAATAGATAGGTGCACATTTGAGCCCTCAAAATTGTCTAACTATCCTTGAAACAAAGGGTGGTGGTTTTCATGTAACAGCCAACAAAGAGATGAAACAATTATATATAAATGTATTTACTATTTATTTTCATAAAGCTTGAATTCCAGTTTTTATAAGATAAAGAAATAAAATGGCAAAACATCTGACTAGATCATATAGGGAATGGATCGGGTTTTTTGATAGTAACAACATAAAGTGCTAATTAGGAATTATTTCTTGTTTGTAAATCACAATCCAAAATACACAACAAGAACAAATAAAGGCCAACAAGGAAAAAGACACAAATGATGTTGTAGAAAGGCTTCTTTGGAAATTGTTATTTTTTATGGCTTGTAGAGCAGAGAGAAAAGTGAGATTACTCATGAAGTAATTTTATATGTAAAAATAAACATTTACACACACATTTCCAAAATTCCTCACTGCCATATAAATCTGGACAGAAGCAGAAAAGCCATAGTTTAGATCAGAGACAAGCATCACTTCTAGGAAGACAAAAATCAATCAAGACAGTGACAGCAGGCAACTGAAATGCCCCCTCCCTGTCCTGATACCACACCCTGACACAGACGGTACCATGCACTTAATTTATACCATCAAGGTTGCATTTGCAGCTGAAAAATGGACAACCCAAAACATGAGTATTTCTATAAAAGAGACATCCTGGCTCACCAGTGAATTAAATAGCAAAATCTGAGGTGTTCAGTTTGAATTCACAACTTGAGGGCTGTTTTGGGAACCTGACACACCTCTCCTGGCTACTATCATGTTGACTTTTATTACTCCATTCCAGTTTAAATTTTAAAAATCTTCACAAGTATCTTAAAAGTAGAGGTGAAAACAGCACTTTTTTTTTTTTTTTTTTTTTTTCCCAAGGCATTAGAAACCTTTTTTCTCTGATTCAAGTCAAAACAGAGGAAAAAAATGTAAGTGCACAAATTCCCTCAGGAAGCACAGCAGCATAGTTGATTTTGCCTTTGGATGGAGTAATAGACAAGATGAATCTAGGATCCCACCCAGGTATGTTCTATATAATTCTATATTCATCCTGTAATTCAGTTTCGCCTTTGGGAAGCTGAAAAAACATGAAGAAATGTTAGTGCATGCATGCGTAGCTTAAGACATGAAAAAAAAAAAAAAAAAACCCAAAAAAACCAAAACAACCAAAAAAACAAAAAAAAAAAAAAAAAAAAACCAAACAAACCAAACCAACCAAACAAACAAAAAAATAAAAAAAGCAAGGTTTGTTAAAAAAAAAAAAAATCCAGTGCAGTGTTTGTAGGTAGAAAACTTCCCTTTTTTAGACTGTCCTTCCGCGCGTGTGAGATGAAGATGTTTCGAGCAATGGGCAGAGGCAGGGAAGAGCTACGCGGTTTAGCGGAGCGGCTGCGGGGCAGCAGCGGGGGGCGCGGAGCGGTACCTGCGGAGCGGCCGCCGGGGCGCGGCTGCCGGCGCGGGCGGAGCGCGGGGCCCCGCGGGGCCGCGGGCAGCGGCAGCAGCGCCAGCGCCAGGCAGCAGCCCAGCACGCCGAGCGCCCGCCCCATGGTGCTGCCGCCGGCCCCGCGCCCTCCGCGCCGCCTTTAAAGCTGCCGGGACCGGCAAGGGGGACGGGACACCGAGGGGGCATCGGCCGCCCCCGCCGCCTCCTCCCCAGGGCGGGCCGGTGGCCCTCGCTCCCCCGCCCCGACGGGCGCTCAGCCCTGCGGGGAGGGAGGGGGGCGAGGATCAGAGCTCCTCGTTGGGAATGTGCGGCTGGGCCGGGGCAGGGCTCGAACCTGGGCGCAGGGAGAGCTGAGACACAGTTCTTCCTTCCAGGCTAATTGTGCATCTCAGTCTCCAGGGCAGTAGTTGCGAAGAACGGGAGAAAAGCTCCTAGTATGATCACCGAGGCACAAGAACTGCCCGCTCTGTTGTCAAATTTGGCCAAGGACATTTTGGCCAGTTCCTGCCGGAAGCTGCAGTGAGCTTTTGGGAAAGCTCAAAGGCACAAAGGCACCCTGATCTCCAGCACAGGGCTTTCGAAGACGCCTTTGCCAAATCTGCATCCTGTTTTACTGCAGGATCATCTTCTCTCCCACCACCTCCATCAGGGGAACATGAATGTTTGATTTAGAAGAGGAACCACCAAGCCCCCAGCTGTACAGGATCAGGCAAGCAGTGGCTCACTTCAGTAAGTTCTACCACGAGAGCACGGGAAGAGGACACCATCACATTCCCAAAGGCTGCAAACAGTAGCAAGGAAGAGGGACCACCACCCTTCCAGCAGGAGAAAGCCACAGGGCAGGGCTCCAGGGGAGTAGAATGGCTTTTCTCTCTCAGAACACGACAGCTTCTTTGAGCAAGAGCACATGCACACACCCCCCAGACAAATATCAGGCAGTGCCTGCTCCTGTCAAATACTGCTCACACACATGGTCAGCCACCCCCTTGGACAGTCTCAATGAACAGCCTTTGGCAGGAGCTCTTTGCCTCCTCATGGTCAGACACACACACGCTCCCTCACTGCAGAGGGAGCCAGAGCAGAGTGTGTGCTGGAATGTTTGAGCAGCACCCAGTTTCAGCTGTTTCTTAAACCACACGAAACCACAGTGGTCTTTTACACACCCCCACTCCTCCAGAGTCACACTGAAGCAGTCTGTGGCAGAATCTAAAGACGCCCTGGGTTTGGAGTCTCTGTGGGAGTTCAGATCCAGTGCAGCTCCTCAGAATCTGGAAATAAGAGTGCAGCTTCCAGCAGCACTGGTCCCCCCCTGGGTCCCCCCTCGGGGTAACCGCCAGGACAGCACTGTCAGAACAGGCGCAGAGACAGACCACTGCACTTCAAAGTGCTCTCACAGGTGGCACCTGAGTTAATTAAAAAGGGAACTACTGCTGGTAGCACAGCTCTAACAGAGCATTTTTAAATGTGTACAGAGATACATATTGAAAATACAGGAATAACCCCAGAAATTATATGCTGCAACAATCTGAATCCCTTTCCTCAGAATTTAACACCAGGTACCTCTTCTCTTCCAAAGCAGTAGTGTTTTATTTCTTCAGCCATACTAAATCATTAAATAATCTTTTACCTCTTTACAGCTCTTGCTACAAAAGAGGAAGAGTGGAAAGATTTTTGTAGCTTGATTTTTTTGTTTGAGGTTTTTTGTTGATTGTAGAAGGACATCACTAAGTGAAGGCATATCTCCAACAACTCTGGATATTTTCCAATGTAAATGTTGCAGTCCTGCTGGGTGTCTGTCCTCCTTTAATGCCTGAGCTGACCAGACATCAGATTTCCCCAAGGGCTCAAAGCCTCCAGTACAATTCCCTTTTCCCAGCTCATGGGTAGGTACCAATCAGACAAGTGGAAGTCACCCAAGTACTTTGGAACTGCAAAGGCTTTAACACAGGCCTGTGTGTTAGAGAGAATCCACGCTCTCCAGCCAAACGAGGATTTCTGCTGAAGCACGGATGAACCACTAAACCTGCAACTAAGTATGCTGGACTGTCTGCAGCACACTGAAGCACTTAAACAAAAAAGCCACCAAAAAGATCAACCAACACTACTGGTAAACATTTTGTAAAAGATTTATTTAAGTATCATTTATCACAAAGAGGAAAATACATAGAAGATTAGAAGCATGCAACCATCTTCCACATTGCTATTTATTTTTCTTGCATTCCCAGCTCGCTGTAATAGAACTCCTGTGCCACCCTCACTTGGTTCCTCAAAAATACTGTTTCAAGACATAGGATAACCAAAAAAAAAACCACAATAAAAGGTAAGATAACATATGAGAAAAGTGCAAAGTAAAAAAGTCACATATACCACATTCAAACCCTTCCCCTTCCAAAAAAATGGATAAAGGCAAACTGTCATTTTGCTGCACGATCAGATTGTCTTTATGAACTACTATACAAAAAATTAATATAAATTAAGGGCATAATCCTGCAGACACTTATAATCACAGCTAACTTCAATCAGAGTGGCTCAATTGGTATTATTAAAAGCCACAAGTTAGTCACATGCATAAGTTCTTGCAGGTGTAAGGCCCTAAGGCAATAAAATGTTTAAGAGCATTAGGGAGAACAAAAATTAAAGCAAATGAAATCATTCTCAGATGTGTGTTGCTTAGTAAGTTTATATCAAACATATTTTAAACAGAACAGTTTGCTCCTAAAGCCCTGAATATTTCTATTACTTAAGCAGTTTTGCAAGATTAAAAGACAAAACCCCCAGGAAGCTGGTACAGATGTTAATGAACATAAAAATTACTTCAGGCAGGTATGTAGGGAGGTGGAGGTTCCTTCTCAGGCATCTTCACTGCCATTTCATAGGTTGGCAGAACATACTAAGGAGAAGACATTTTGAAGTGATTAATGCAAGAGATTTCAAATGGGAAAAAAAAATAAAAAAGAGAACAAAAGCATACATGGCCCATCAGCAACTTAATTCTCTGTTGCAGGCAAAGTTATTTTAAGAATTTACTGCTGTTCCTAGTAAGCAAATAAAGAAGTGAAAGAAGTTGCAGGAGCAGTTTGCTGCTCTGCTGAGTCTAACCCTCAGTCCTTCATCCACACCCCACTGCATCTTGACTTTGTAAAGCAGCAAGGAAGGTTTGGACTGGTGCAATCAAAGCTTCCCTCTACCACAAGAAAAACATTCAAAGACTTCTCTCTAAAGACCCTCCTTTTAGACACTCAGAATTTAGCTAAGAAATAACCTACCACAAAATTAGCTGCTTTAAAATGTTTTATCTTTCCAGTCTTTCTTTAGAAAGCTGGACAAGGCTTGGAAACATACATGGATGTAGTGATTTTCTACTTCAAAATTAATGACACTGCTTCCTTTTATCTCAAAACAAGATTTTACCTGTGGAGGAGCTTCAAAAGCAGGGTACACAGCAATCTCTGGCAAACTTCTGCTGATGATGTATTTATAGCAGTTCCATACACAGTTAATTAGATATGCCTGAAAGAAGAGAGATTTTTCTTTTAAACATCTCATAAGCATTGGCTGATTCAGAAATTAGATGTTGGATGACATTCCTGTAATAAAAAGGAGCATAAATCAACTTAGACAACACATATCTGAGGAATGGTTGCTATTTCACAGACCTGGCCACATACCTGTGTTGCTCTCCATTTAGCTTTGCTGTCACAGTGACTCACAGAGGATGCACCACACAGGTTTTAGCAAAAGAATTCACAGATCCATTCAACTAATCTCTGTCTGCCTCACAGAGCTAATCAAATTAATCACCAACTAGCTTATGCTTGTGTGGATCCCAGTCCAAACCTGCCAGGAGGAGGAGGAGAGGCCAACAGTACAATCCCACTCATCTCCCTGTTAGCTGTATTTCTCCAGCTAACTGCCAGTGTTAAGGAGAGAGCTCACACACACAACTGAGGCAGCAGGGAGAGGGTCGAGCAGTGAACCCTGACCTCCGAGTCAATACTGACTGCTGCAGAAAGAAACATTAGCATGATATGATGAGGATTAAGGTTTTTTATTACTAATTTGTGTAACATTAACCTCTCCAAATCTCCCACTGACAAGTTAGCACTGTTGTACAAAAGGTACCAAATTTCCCAATCAATACACAAGTGCTATCTATTGTATTAGGCTTTCACTCCCCCCAGTTACACATACCTCTTGGAAAAAGTATAGAAAATCAGTAAAATTATTATTATTTCATTTTTTCTTAAATGCAACCTGAATGCAATAAAGGAACAGTATCATGGCCAATGTATATTATAAATTAATTTCTCTAATATGCTTTGCTTACACAAGAGTTTTTATAATCCAAATGAATGCCTCATAATTTAGATCTTCAGAAAGAAACTGGTACTATCACCCTTCAGAAGGGAGAAAGATCCAGGTCTAGAATTAATTTATACATTTCCTCATTCCATCATCTTGCTTCCAAAACTTGCATTCTGGTTTGTTAGGCACAGTGAGAGATTTTAAACATTTTGCTTAGAAACTTGTAAGCATTAACTCAATACTATTTCACTACAAGCTTAATTACAACTATTAAAATTATCTCCAGGTAGACAAAAAGTCTTTTTGCATTCCTCCTTCCTACTCAGGAAGAGCAGAGCTGCATAAGCACACCCCACCCACACAAAGTTAGCTGAAGACACCAGTATACAACATATTAGACTTAAGTCATACTGGAACTGAACATCCCAACAATTGTTCTCAAAGAAGTTCTCACCTCAGCATTAAGAAGGCAGCTGGGTTCTGAATTCAGCATTGAGAATTAACTCAGATTGACACCGTCTCAATATTTATTAACTCTTGCAACAGACACATGATTAAGTTTTAACTTACCTTTAAAATGATAAATAATACAAAGAACACCAGAACAATAAACAAGAGACAGCTGGAGTCCAAAGAAAGGAGATCCTCTTTGTAAGGAAAATCCGGCTAGTGAAAAAAAAAAGCGGGGGGGGGGGGAAGGAGAGAAAGGGAAGAGATAAGAATGAACACTGCACAATCAAATATGATAGAAAAACATCCAAACTTCACACCAAATGAAACAAACCCTTCTGTAAACTACTCCCCTGAAACAAAAAGTTCCATTTCTAACAAGTTTCTTCTTTATCCTCCCACAAAGCACAGTATTTATCCTCTCTCTGTACCACAAGAACAGATCACTACAGTACAGTCTGTGTCCCTAGTCACTTCACCGCTCTCATGTCAACACAGATTCTTCTTTACAGCTGTAGGACAGTGTTTGTACTCATGGTCCTCTACAGCTCTTTAATGACTTCTGTTAATTACATCCTGTCAGTCCAACTTGAACACACTGGTGTGCAGTGTAAGATGTCACCCTCAAACGTGGGGGAGCCAAAACAGAAATTCTGTAAACCTGTCTCTTTTCTTTCCCTGACCACAGCAACAAAGCCTCTCTCAAACACCAATCTAAAATTTTATCTGTTTTAAAGAGAACTTGCTTTTAAACATCTACTTGAACAAATCACAACATCAGCCAGCCAGAGCTCATGGTCCCTGCAGACAGTACATGCTATGCATTGACTCTTCTTGCAGTTAAAACACAAGCAGTGTTAGTGAGAACTCCACTGCAGTTTCCTTAGAAAGTGTTGTTGCATCTTGAGAAGAGACACACATAGAATGTAAAAAGGAAAGCTCAGATTCCATGTGTAATGCTGTGGGAATCCTTACCTACACTTCTACAGTCCTTACCTATACTTCTCTTCCTGTTCTCTACCAATTAAGGATCAACACATTTTTAATCTGCAGTAGCAAATTTGCCACTGAGCCCCACTGTTTAAAAGGCACAGTTAAGTGTGTTAAAGAACACACTTCCAAGTCCAAATGTAGCCAACACAGTTTAAACCAGTAGTTCCCATCACAATTCTTTCCTTACTCTCCCTGACTTTCCTTTTAGGGAGCCATGACAACTTTAACTCTTCCACCTCTGACAAGCTACCATACCCATAATAACCACCTATGGCTGCTGCAGGCTGAATTTCTTATGCAAAGGGAAGTGTAGCTCACTCACTCACTCATCCAATTAAAACAAACTTTAATTTAAAATGTAAACTATCAACTTGAGCTGAATACTTACCAACTGATCCAGGTAATCCTTGATTCTGGGCAAGTAGGTTAGAGAGCTGATGGCAACCAGACAACTGAGCACAAAGTCAAAGAGTTGGTAACAGAAAAATGGGATCAGCCAGCCTACACGATGCTAAGAAATAGAAAAAAAAAGGAGCAGCCTGTAAATTATTTTGTTTTTAAAAAAAATCAAGCAGCAACTCTCAAACCATGAATTATAAATATACTTACAGCAATGGCACCATACACCATCATTGCACTGATTGTGAACATGAGAAGGGAGATAGCAAACAGAACACAGGCATTTTCTGTATTAAAAAAAAAAACAAAAACAAAAAACCCAATAAGAATCAGTCATTTCCCAGAGCTTTGTCCATTACTATGATCTATTCTCAATTGACTCATCCGTGCCAACTACCAGCAGCAGAATAGAGCAATTCAGATCCTTCCTAACAAAAAAAGATCTGGTTCAAGAAAACCTACAACTACTTGGAAAAATCCCTCTGCCTTAATCAAAAGCCTGACTAAAGCCCAGGAACACCAATTAGAAGCTTGACACAGTTTGACAGTAATGCACCATAATGATGCTGATTTGCAGTATGTGTCAGTGCTGAAAGTATGTGAGTGATTAACTTTACAACGACACAATCGTAAGTGAAGCTAACACACTATCAACCTTTACACTTGAAAATGGTTTGGTTATGTAATTTGGTCATTGGCAGTGGGAGCTGCACTGCTCCTTCAGTAACACTAAGGAAAACAGGAAATCACTGTGTGGAAGGTATCCCACTATTTACAACAAAAGGCAGTTGAACAGAAACCAATTTGTAGCAAAATCCAGGACACTCATGGAAGCTGCATGATAAAGATTCTCCCTGTGCATCACAGTTACTGATTACAGAAGCACAGCTGCTTTCCACAAGTTAGATTATACTTGTTCTTTTTTGAACACAAAGAAAGCAGCTTGAGAGTCTATAGACATGGTAAATAAATGTGTTTTAGCAATATTGAAGCCAACATTTTGTGGTTCTCCTGCTTGAAAAAGATTATCTGAGAACCCTTTCTATTCTGCAATTAATATCTACATACACAGATGGCATCAAGGAAGAGCCCCCACATATCTGAAATGCACTGCGTTGATCAGACATGTCTCAGCAATCACCAGCAAGTGTGGCTGTCTTCTGAGGAGTTATTACTCACAATATACAGTAGTACAATAATACCTGTAATGTTTTTTTTCACGCACACAAAACCCTCTACCCAGATCCCAATATAAGGAATCAAAATTTAATATAATATATAATATTGACTCCCAATATAAGGAGTCAAAAGCATGTGATAGATTTTATACTAAAGAGTGAAGAAAGCACCTTCAGCTTCAGAAGCATCTTTCACTCATATAAGCTTAAGGCTACCAAGTACACCAACAGCCTTTACAGATCATATAACATTCTACAGACATCTGCTGTGATTTTACTTAGTATCTTAGCCTCATGAAGAATTTGGTCCTTACTCCCACTCTTATTTCATTAGTAGTAAATGTGAGTTACAGTCACATGTCAGAATTGACAGATACAGGTCATGGACAATTAATCCAAAATGCTCAAAACCCAGTTTTGTGCTGCACTATTTAACTTTGCTGAATCTAACCCTCCCTGAATTTTTATGTAATACAACACACTGAGGTAGATTAGAAGCGCCACACTACACATTTCTGCACATTTAAAACCAAGAGAAGCAAAGCATATGCACAAGTTTACAGACAGAATATTTAAAAGCTCGACACCAGTTACAGCTGTATACATCATACACTCAGTAACAGAGTGAAAAACAGGCATAATTCTGCTCATGGTGCTTTCTCTTTCATTTATTCTGCAGGTGAAACTTGGAGAAACATTTTGGTTTCACTCAAGTACTTGGCATCCCAAATGTTTCTCTCATCTTCGAAAGATATCATGGTTTTCTTCTTAATAAATTCATATGCAGGAGCTCTAAGGTTCTTTCCTGATCTATGAAGATGAACAAAAATTCTGAAGAAAAGTCTTTAAACTTGTTTTCTGCTGCTTGTTTTACCGAGACAGCAAAGTTAATTAATGTTTATGGAGAAAGTGAATCAGAGATGTCCCACACATACTTCAACACTCAAAGCATCAGAAGGCCAAGAAATCTCATCTTATACCAAGCATTAAGATGCTTGGGTATAAAATGAAGTTAAAATAATAGTCCATAAAGCTTTCTTTTTATTCTTGTAGAAGAATTCAATTCCAGAATAATTGAAGTGAAATTCAGAAAACAAGATAACCATATTTATTAAAAGTGGTATGCATATATTACAACCTAATGTAAGACAAATCCATGGTATTGTATACTTTATAATCCCATCAGCCAGCAGAGTTCTAGACCTACCAGCCATTCTATCGGAAGCATAGTAATTTCCAATGACTTCATACTGGATATCAACAGTTGGCACCATATTTGGATGAGTCACTTCTACTGTCAACAAGATGCCCATCAGCAAGTTCACCACCTGAGAGAGATCACAGTTACCTCAAGGTTAATTACTTTGCAACAGCTAAGATGATTTTAATGAACACTAATAATCCTTTATTTCAGTTAAAAATAAACTCTTCCTTCTGCCTGTATGTGGAAGGAAAAAAAAAAGGTCAATTTACAGTTAAATTTCAAGCTGATTTAGTTAAACGACTATTAAAACAACCCAAAGAGTGTGGAGCACTTGCTAGGTTCAATGAATCACCAATGAATAACTTTGCAAATTGAGGTGATGGAAAGATTGCTAGGGATTCAAATAACACAATTAAGTTGATGCTGGCTTGATGAATGTACAGATTTGTGAACTGAAACACTGGAAACCATTAAAAAAGGTCAGGAAGATAAAGGTACAGAATAAGGAATATTTTCAAAGAATTTCTGCTTTCTACAACAAATTGAATTAATTTAACATACAAATAAATTACTGGGTTTCTGCCACATATCAGCTTTAATAAGCTAGAGTGAAAATCTTCCTCTGCTTCCCAGATCACTTATTAAAACGTCACCGGTACTTATCAGAAAGGTCTACACAACCACAGGGGAAGTTAAAAAGTTTCACAGGAAGATGAACCCCCACAATGTGGCCGTGTGCTCACCAGTCTCTCTCCTCCCTCATGCTGCTACTTAAGACTCCTTCTGTTGCCCCATTTTGGTACACACCAGAAAATGTCCTCAGTAAGAGCTCAAAGAATCAGAAGTAGCTTAAGCCTCTGTAAAATTGCCTTGACAGCATTTATAACGTATTCAAGGTTTACAGGAACATAGTTTTTGTTACTAGTATCTGGAGACAAATGCCAAAGGTTGCATAACACAAAAAAAACCTCATGATGGTCTCTCAGAGCTGCAGACATTTTCCAATCAGTATTCAGTACTGTCACACCAGCAGCACGATCCCTTCCAATTAGTCTCAAAAGAAAAAAAAAAAAAAACTGGTTTGCAGTTTCTCACAACTTAAGAATATTTGAATATTTGCCAGGTATTTCTTCTTCTATGGGCATGGTTCCAGAAGTCAATGATGGTGACAAGTCTATGTACCATTACTGAAGATTTCAGGAAGGAAAAAAAACTCTGAATATTTTAAAAATTTTGGGACTCACAGTTCCTATAACTTTTTTCCCCTCACTGTTTTTATTAGTTTTTTCTTCTTGTTCCCCCAGGGTTTACAGATAAATGGTGATAAGCTTGCAAGCACTTTGTGCTAAAAGAACCCTTTCGTGGAATTAAAGTTGGTAGAGCATTTCACTTTGTAGAAATGCAATCATCTCATATGTATTACACAAACTTACTAGAATTTCCAGCTATTTTGAGCCCCTTGTATTTCTACCAAGCATTTTATATAAAACATACTAGCCAAAACAGCTAGCAGTGAAGAATTCTGTTTAACCATCAATATTTTTAGCCTCAAAATGCACTTATTTTCACTCACAGGATACTTCTTAAAGGGCAAACTGTCAAGTTGCTCACCTGTGTCATTTTCAGATCTTATTCTGCTTCACCATTCATCAAAAATATGGAACACTTTCATCTCCCACCTGCTTCATCCTTCTGTACTCTGGCCTTCTGCTCTCAATGCTCTCTGCATTTTCAACCCTTCTATTTCCTCCTCTCTATATTGGAAAATACCTTTTGGCACTGTACCCGTTTCAAAAAGCCTAGGTCAAGGTTCAGGTCTCTGGCAGCTGAAACATTGAACTCTACTTTATAAAGCACAAAAGTACATGTTCAATTACAACTAAATCATTTATTGTTTATACATAGTCATGAGTTTGACTGCCATGATAGGCTATCTGCTTCAGGATAATGAGTAAGCAGCACCTGAATTGCTATAGAAGTACTGGAGAACTAGAATTTTGAGACTGTAATTCTCCATCTGTCACTTTCTTTTTTATTTTCATCTTATCTGTGATCCTAATTCAGTGTACCCAAGTCTTTAGTAATTTCACTAGTTACTGAGTGTAGTTCCAAGTATTAAAGATTTACTTTCTCAACCTGAAATGGTATGCGAGTAAAACAGAAAATAAGAGTCATTCAAAATCCAATCTATTAGAATCAATGAGACCAAATAAAAATAGTAACAAACCAAAACAAATCTAAAAAACAAACAATAACCCAAAACCTTGGCCAATTCACACCTCAGGGTTTCCAGCACTCCATTACTACTGTTTACAAATCTATCACAACACTGAGCAATTAACTGAAATTCATATGTTAAACGTGATTAAGACCTACAGAGCCAGAGCCTCTGTTTTAACTACTTCCATTCTTCCCCAGAAGCTTGATAACAGCAAGACCACAAGGTTAGTTTCAAAATAATCAGTGTAACAGGCAGCAAGAATATAGTTTGGGCCACATTGTTAGAGCTTTTAAGTATATACTCACTGCAAACCAAATGTATGTTCACAAATATCTACACACAGAGGTCAGAAAAAACATAACTCATGTATGCTTCAGTGTAATATGAGGATTAAACCCACCACCATCTTCTCCTCAAAAAAAACAAAACAATACAAAACAAACTCAAAAAACCTCCAAACCTGACAAGACAGCACTCAGTGGATACTGCAGCACCCTAAAGTAACACCTCAGAAATCTCAGCAGCCTCATTCTGGTCTTTTTTGATAGAAAATAAAAAATAGTAATAAAAACATTTGCAAAATGCACGTTAAAGTCCTTATAAAAATAATCCCATTAAGATGAGAATAACCTTAATTTAGTTTTGTAATAGTTTAAGGAGTGTATTTTACATTTTCATGTCTGGGATAGCTAAGTTTAATAGTTTGGTGTAGCTTGTATCAAAATTCAAAGAGCTGAAATTTCGAATTCTCAGGTAGAAAGTTATAATTTGTTACACCCTGGTAAGAGAAATATTAGCTCCCCATATGACTAAAACTCAAAAGACTGTGGAACTCTTAAGAAGCATTAGCTTTTTAATCAGTGAGTTTTATCTCCACAGTGTACACTTTATTCCTCATCATGTAAGTGCTTCAGCTCTCTGGAGGCCCAAACATGAAGTCCAGTTTTCCCCAAGCACTCAGAGTGACTTGGGCAAAACCAAGAATTCCTACTTATAATTTGCTTATATCCTTTTAGGAGGGGAAAGAGGGAAATTGCCTTGCACTACTACACTCATTTTCCTTTCACTTTTCCAGTACTTTTTCCCTAGACATGTTTCCAAAGTGGGAAAAGAAAAAAAAAAAAAAAAAAAAAAAAAAAAAAAAAAAAAAAAGAAAAAAAACCCCAAACAAACAAAAAGGAGATTCTGGTTTGGTTTGGTTTATTAATATATTGGAACAGTAAAAACTGAAGAAGACTAATTTTAAATAGGGTACTTCAGAGCCTCTAGCCCTACCAGTATTAGAGTGACAGACATGAGCCAGTGTAACTAGTCTCAATCTGGTTCAGTGAACACACAATTCCAGAGATCCCCCTCATGCTCCTGCTAACCAGCAGCATTTGCATCACTGACTGCAGCCCTGAAATTTGCTGCCAGAACGCAGCAGCCCCTCCCTCCAAAACAATACTATTGGCATTTATGCTGTTTACTGAACTCTGATCCCATTCTTGCCAGTGCAGTGTTCGAGCTTCCGGTTTCTGGAAAGTGCAGTGCCCAATATGAAAGTTTACAGGAAGAAACAAACTTCAAAGCAACACGACTGCAATTATGGAGGGAGGAAGAGGAGGTTTCTTTTTCCTTCCAACACAGAACAGCAGTGGGTGTTGCAGAGCTAACGAAGCTTTATCAGACCTGGAACTCAAGTACAATTCTGCCAGAAATGTTCTTAAGTTGTCTTTTGGTAAATACACTTTTATTTACTGAGCACAAACAGCAGCAGCACACAGACAAAACCGTGCTTGAGAGACACTCTGTTCACACAGCATCAGCAGCAGACATTTTAGAAGGTAGACCTGGTTCTCTCTGGACTTGCAGAAGCACACAGCAAGGACAGTGACAAAACTGTTCTAGTGAGGAGCAAAGTTAATTACATGCATTATTTAAAAGTACACAAATAAGCAAGGAATAGGAAAATGCCTAAAGAAATGGTTATGTAAGAATAACACATGTATTAAGTAGACAGAAGTCTTATCTTACTAAAACATCTGGAGTAGATTGCTGTGAGACTCCATTTTAAGTTTGATAGCAAATTCCTTCAGGACTGCACTGCACGAGAACACAGTTTCTATAGTAAATAGCAAGATTTTCAGTAACATAAAACTATTCTTGAACTTAACATTCTCTCCCTCCAAAAAGCTACATCCTTCAAAAAACCCCAACAAAACCAAAACACACAAAATACAAACAAAAAGCCCCACCAAACCCACAAACCACCACCCTACACATAAAGTTACTACTATTTGTCCCACTGTAACTTAAAAGCAGAGATTAGTTAATTGATTTAGAAATACTTCTCATAAGAACTGAAACACTAAGTTAGGGATATACTTAAATGGTGCATTAATTAACATGTCTAAAAAAACTGGCATGCTCTGGTCAATTTTTTAAAGCTTGGCAGAAGGCAATTAAATTTAACTTTCACTGTCAAAACCATATTTTACCTTCAAAAGAAGTATAATTTATAGTTGAATTCTGAGATTAAAGCATTAGGGAAGACCACCTAAAGCTTCATGTTATAACCTTTTTCAGCTCAACAGACAGCTGTTGCCAGATTTTAAAGTTATCACCCTTACCCAGGTGACAGCTGAGAACTGGATATAAATATTTTATATTTTTATAACACGGCTTAAAAGTGTTTGATACAGGTTTGTTTTTTTTTTAATATAAAAACTCGCACCTCTAAAGCACTTTGCATGCCCCCCGCTACCTTGAACTGAGCCCACTTTTCCCTGTGGCAGAGCGAGTGGCTGCGGTTACCCGGGATCAAAGCCGCGCTCCGCCCTGGAGCCGCAGCCCCACGGCTGCCACCGTCCCCTGCACCCATTCAGAGAGAAGAAAGAGATGCCGCATCCAGGCAACTAGAGGAAACATAAGCACAGCAGGAGAGGTAGAAACTGGAAGTGCTACCAGGTCTGTGGCCACGGAAATATCTCCCTGTCCCCCGCCCCCAGCAAGTTCCTGGCTTTGCAGACACTCCCGCGAACAGGAATCGCAGCGGAAGGCAGCGAGGTGCTTTTGTTCTGTAACAAGGATTACTGTCCCCCTTGCTGTTCACGATTCCTGCTTTTACTTGAGGGACCAGAAGCATATTCTTGAACTGCATCCATCGGCACAGGCTGGTTCGCAGGTTTCTAAAAGTTTGATTCGCAATACCACAATGGACCTTTTCCTTTGAAATGAACTAGCAATAGAACTTAATCAGCACCAAGACTTTTGTCCTACTTCATTTTGAAAGAAATGCCTCTTCCCTAAAGTTTTGTTACATTTCCAACCCCCTACCCTGCCTTTTCCTCAAGTCCTATCTCTCCAGCAACTTTGTTTGCCTGTACATTTTTTTGCCAACTGAGGGACCAAGAGGCACAAAAATAAACGATCTTCCCATACTTGTTGAAAATAAACAATAACTCCCCAAAATCAAAACCCCATGCCTCTAAAGGCAGTTTCTGTGCATGGCTGTTTCATATCAACACAAAAATTCAGCATTCTTTGTTTCTCACAATCTCGAGAAGGGCAAAGGAGAACACAGGTTTTGATTACAGCTTCAGGAGAAAAGAAAAGGTATGATGCAACTTTTGTAAACTATCCTCTCATTTTTACTGCCCACGAGGATTAAGGGGAAGGAAAGATGAGGAAATTACTTCAGTAAAGGGCAGTTCAGACCCCCTTTAAAGGGAACCAGGGAAGTTAGGACTCCACTCCAGGCCTTTAACTTGCTGGTACTGTTTTCACATTTCCACTCCGCCCTAGCTCAGAACTTTATTTCTAATATTTCATCCACACTACCACAGCTCTTCCTCGGAGAGAAAGTACTCATAAGTCGGAAGAAAGGCAGTATTTTGGGAGCCAAATTTGTTTCCACTGCTTTTCAATCACCGTTTCAGGAACAGAGTATGGAATAACCAGGAACTTCTCTTGCCACAAAGCTCTTGCTCATTCTAAGACACTCATCTTCCTCTCAGAGGTTACACACCATTCACGGGTACCTCATCTTATTCCTCTACTATACACCCCGAATTCCACTCTCCCCCAATCTCCTCCCTTACAAGTTCAGTACTGTATTAAAGTCTCAATCCCTCCAAACCAAGAAAGAGAAGAGTAACACAATCTCTGAGACGCAGATTAAAACGCTCTGAACTTTCTCTTCATTTTCTTTTTCCAAACACAAGGGAGGCTGCCGAGGGACAGGAAGACTTCCTTAGCCCGAAGGAGAGCCCGGGAAAGAAGAGGGGCCCGAGCCCCGGGGTGACCCCAGGCAATCCCCCGGTGCAGCTCCCCCGGCCGCCCCGGCACCGGGAGCGGCCGCCCGGGCAGGGCAGCGGGACGCGCGCGCTCCCTCACAGCGGCCGCTGCTCCCCCGCCCCACCGAACAGCCGCGCACGCGCGCTGAGCACGGCCCCCACCACCGCCCCTCCAGCCGCTGGCCGCCCCCGCCTCTCACCATGTACCAGGTGCCCAGGATGATGGTGCCGGTGCGCACATGGCAGCAGCCGCAGCACCGGGTGCTGTGGAAGCGGTCACGACTCCGCTTGAACGTCATGGCGGCGGCGCGCAGCTCCAACCGCCGGACCCACCACCCGCCCTCTCCAAGCAGTTCCCGACACCGAGGGCCGTAGAACCCCCGGCGCGCGCGTCACCGCCGCACTGACCAATCAACCGCCGAGAGAGTGTCGCGGGGCGGGCCTGTGTTGCCGCAGTGACGGATGATTGACAGCTTCGCTGACCAATCACAACGGCTCTGTTACTGACGCCCCGCATTCACCTGCGGCGGCACCTGAGGTGGGGTGGTGCCTTTTCCGCCATGTTGGGCTTTGCCCGCCTCTGCCGCCGGCCCTCAGGCGGGTCTGGGGGAGAAAGGTCCTGCCCTACTCGCCTGGTGCACGGGGAGCAGCTCGCCGGGCGTTTGAGCCGGAACTTGGCAGGTGGAGAGGCAGGGAAAAACCTATGGGGAAAGCTGCGGTGTATAGAGACGTTCCCGTGTACTTAGCGCGGGTGAGGAGCGGCTCGATTTCTGGGGCCAGTTCTGAGCCCCTGAGTTCAGGAGGGACATGGAAGTTCTAGAGAATGGCAACAGAAGGGCAACAGAGCTGGTGAAGCGGCTGGAGCAGAAGTCTGATGAGGAACGGCTGAGGGTGTTTTGCCTGGAGAAAAGGAAGCTCAGAGAGAGCCTTACCGCTCTCTACAACTCCCTGAAAGGAGGTTGTAGCCAGGGGGGGGTCGGCCCCTTCTCCCAGGCAGCTGGTAACAGCTTTAGAGCACATGGCCTCAGGCTGCAGCAGGGAGGTTTAGTCTGGACATCAGGAGGAATTTCTTCATTGGAGGGATGATTAGACGTTGGAGCAGAAGTCACTATTCCTGAAGGTGTTTGAAGACTGGACATGGCACTTAGTGCTATGGTCTGGTTGGCACGGTGTTAGGTCATGGTTTGGATTCGATGATCTCACAGGTCTTTTCCAACCTAATTGATTTTGTGATTATGGACAGCCCTTAATTCTACTATAGTAATGAGTAAGTAATATCTCCTGATGTCCTGATTCCAGCTGGGGCAGTGTTAATTTTTGCAGGTGCCAGGAGGGAGCATGGCTCGGATGTGCAGGTTATTGTGTCCCACCTCACCTCATTGTCATTGCCAGGAGCAGGAGGAAAAGGGGTTTCTTCCTCTGGAGAAAACGTGGAGGAGGGAGCCGACTGGTAGTGTGTACTGGGAGCGGGGGCAGGTTTCTTATCTCGTCTATTTTTCCAGTATATTGTGCCTTCAATTCTCAGCCTCATCCTAACACATCAGGAAGGATGAGGGGAAGGGGGAGTGAGAGAGAGCAGTGTGTGGTTTAGGAAAGTCCCAGTGGGGGTCCTGAACTGGGAAGTACCATTCCCAAACCATGACACCTGGGCAGAGCCTGATGAGGTCTGCTTTGAGGTACTGCCAACATCCCCGTTTTCACTGAATTTCGCTGCAGAAAGTTTAATTCACATGAGCTGTTTTGCTGTTCTTTTGAGTTAATTCCTTGGATTAAAGAATAATATTAAGACTAATACGCTAAGAGGATATGCCATCAGAGGGAAAACAGAAGAGGTGAAATTTTGTCCACAGAAGTGCTTTACTTTGTTGGTGGCTCCGAGCCCTACTCAAGCCCCTGTTGGTGAGTGGGTAATAGAAATGCTTCGTTAGTTTCACTGAAACCTGCGTGTGCTGCACTTTTTAAAACGTTAATTAGAAATAAGGTGTATAAATCCAAGTGCTGTCTTCTTCTGTGTATGTGTTAAGTTTCACCACCACTTAGACACACTGTCTCCTGTTCCCACATGGGGCAGGACCTGTAAACTTCCCCTGACCCTGTGATTTCTGGAGTCCTGAACTGTTGATGCAGAAATGCACACAGTTTATTTTAACCTTCTACTTGCAGCTGCAAATATTTCCTTCTTGGCAGTGCACAGCCTGAGACACAGAACCATAAATATTTGCTGTGCCTATATACACCAAGATGTATGTCAGTATTGAGTTTTTTCACTTTGAACAGTGAGAAGGTAATGGGGGTGACAGTGGTTGTCCTTTTGATACATTCCAGATTGTACAATTAACACATTTTATTGCTTTAGCTGTTTAGTCTGTTTTTAATGTGAGCTGTTGCTGAGTTGTTTGAAATTATTTACTTAAGGGCTTTAAAAGTGACCTTTTTATTGTAAATCCCCAGAGTTCCATAGTTAGTGTTTTTTTTCCTTAGGGCATATTTCATTTTTGAATAAACATGTTGTAAGTGCTGCTAAGATGGCTGTGATGATCCTCTTACAAACTATTGTTTGTTTCTTTAGTGCTGCTGATGTTTTCAGCCCGGTGCACAGATGCCTAATTATCAACACTCTGATTTAATGTAGCAAGAAGGGACTAATTTTAATCAATATACACATGTCCATGCAAAAAAAAAAAAAAAAAAAAAAAAAAAAAAGAAGAAGAAAAAAGAAAGTGCATTTTGTTGTAACCAGTCATTTAAAAAATAGGTTTTCTTACAGATGGCACTTTGGGAACCTAATCCAGCTCCTCCTGCTGCATGCATGCCTGAATTGATTAGATTGTTCTGCGGAGCTGAGAGATTCTCCTTCCTGTTGGTCTGTACCTGTGTGAAGCAGGAGTTCACAGGATTAGAATGAGTCAGAAATTAAAGTAGGAGCCCCTCCCTCAAAGTCTGGACATCCACTTGGAAACCTTTAAATCCCACTCCCAGTTCAAGTGATTTGTGTGGGCAAGTGCTCCAACTAAGAGCTTGCAGCTGGACGCTGCCGTCGCTAAGATCAGGCTTGTCAGGCTGAGATTGTCTGGGCTATTTTCATCAGATGAAAGAAATCTTAATTAAGTGTTCATATCTTTGTCAGCCAGACTCGGAATAAAAATTGATGCGATTCCCTTGAGCTTCACTGCTTGTTATACTCTGCAAACACTGCTTGTTATACTCGGCAACAAAGATACTGGGAAGAATAATGTGAATCCATTTAACATCACAAAGAAGCTTTCCACAGCAGGATAGGCTGATATGGAACTATTGAATTTGCATAAAAAAACCTCTCCACTTTCTCCCCCCCCCCCCCCCCCCCAAAAAAAAAAAAAAGGAAAATAAAGATTTAAAGAGTATTTTGAAAATTATTGCATTGTTCCTTGTACTTAAGGGAAGAGGTAATAGGTTAATGATTTTAGTCCTACCCTCTCTGAAAGATTCCAGTTCTTTCATGCCACAGGCAGCCCAGATGACCTCAGGCAAGAGACTTCCTTCTTGCTGAGCCTTAATTCTCTCCTTTTTGCTAGTTCAAAGAGGATTTCTGAGGCTAAATATATTAAAAACTCTGGGCTCAGCTTACAGTCATGACAGGCCGAGCAAAATCTGAGAGTCGGCGAGTACTAGGGATAAAACTTCCTCACAAGCAGACCACGGCATGCAGGACCAAAGCATCCACAGCAGTAGGAGCAGGAAGCCGTACACAGATCTGCAAGTCAGAAGCAGCTGCAAAAGAATGATTGGGATTCCTTTACCAGCATGACATTTTAACTCCTTCTCTCTCAGCAGGTAGGGAGGGTTTGATATCGAGGTGTTCCTCATTAGCCAAACTAGTCGAGCTTTCAAAACCCATGTCTAGACAGGAGATTTGCACTTCTGTCTTGAGAGAGCCTGACAATGTTTTACCAAACACAAATTAGTTTTGGATAATCAGATTTTAATAAGGTGACAGCAAAACAGCTAGGATCAGGTAAATGAGAGACCAGGCTTCAACTTGTTCAAAAATTTAAAGTCCTACACTTGCAAGATGTCAAAACAATGCAGCACTAAGGCTGTTTTCTGCTAATTTTTGTAATACCATAGTTTTTCTCTTTTGTGCTGTTCTTATGCCTGTCCTTGGCTAGAAGATGGTGGTTGAATGCTGTAACCACACACTGAACTACTGCCAGGATGGCAATATTGTAAAGAATAAGGTGCTGTTCTGCTTCAGCATTTGCTGTGTTGTGTGTATGGAAACCTACAGACTCTGAACTGATAATCATATGTAACCTCATATCCTATGATAAAGAGTTCCTATCACTTTATAGTGAGAATATTGTCCTGATAGGTTTGAGAAACAAAGGTGCAGTGAGATGAACTGATCTGACCAACACTACTACAGGTCAATCCAAGTTCTAGGAACATCTTGTCCATTGGCTTCTTTGCCAGGAAATAAAAGGTACAGTGCAGGACATGTTGGAGCTCCTCCATCCCAAATGGAAGGTACTTGAGTATGAGGGCAGGAACAAGCTACTGAGCTACTGCTATTTTTAATTTTTTTTCCCTATAACTTTATGCATGTGTCTGCTACTCTGCATTCTAAAACTAAAAAACAAACAAAACAAATGAAAAAACAAAACAAACAAACAAAAAAAAAAAGAGAAACAGCTCCTCAGATGTGGTTATTTTCCATGCTGAACAAACATTTTTAGATTAAAAAATCCAAAGTTTTTCAACATCACAGAGAAAGTAAGATCTTTACATAGAAACTGCAATATAAAGTACTGTATCCCCTTAGCAAAATTTAGAAAAATCTATAGAACTGGTGCAGAAAGTGTGAAAAATACCCAGGCTGAAAGTATGGATTGACTTTTTGCTTCCTTAAAAAAAGATAAGAATGTACTAGAGTAAAAGCAATGCATTAACATATCAATGAGAGGAAAAAACCCTCATATAAATTAGTCAGGGGAAAGCTTTTCTGTTGGTGACTCATACAGCAAAATCAGATATCCTGAAGTCAGCATTAGCAAATTTTACCATCTTTTTCTCCAAGATGAATTTTGTAGGAAAACAACCTAATTTGGAGGATCAGTGGTTTCTTGTAAAAAGGATTAGAAAGTAATAGTAATGTATCACAATGAGTTTTGTGATTATTGAATTTTACTCTTGTTTACCAAGTTAATCAACTTCGTTTTGGGATTCCTAATGTAATGTTCCAAGCTTCTGTATTATTTGTTCTAGTTGGTTGCTGTTAACAATATGAATTATCTTTCACCAGTATGAGTCAGTTTAACGCAGTTCCAAACCTTTTAAACTCATAACAGATGGGTCAGAAAGTCAGGGTTAGAAAATAAGCTAAAATATGACAACAGGATATAAAGTTTCTCCAAACCCAGGACTGTTTCTGGGTTACTCGCTGTATGCTCAGATTTTCTAAATCTCAAACACAGAATAAAAAATCTTGTCTTCATTTAGAGAATCAAAATCTGCTAAACTAAAAGAGCTGTGGTTCATTTATAGCAGCCTCCACACAGTTGAGGAGCTATGAAAATGTCTAAAAATAACATGATCTAAAATGGTACTTTCAGATATCTCAGTGCATTCACATGAACAACACTGAGCACTGGAAATGGAAAATCTCCTGTACTCATGGGCAGCCTCCCCCTTCCAGCCCTCAGTCCGGACTTGCCCCTCCATGAATCTTGGCAGGGTGAGCAGGAAGAGCCTGAGGACCTGAACACTACCTCCTCGGGGAAGCAGGGAGTCACCTTCTAATGGCTGTTATTTCTTTACACGTTGGCTCCTTGGCTGGGTTTGCAGGTTTCCAGGAGGAGCGCTGTGGCAGGAGACTGTTGCTGCCAGAAGAGCTCAATAAAGCTGTTTATCGCGAGTCCCGGCAACGTGCGCCGCACAGAACCACCACCAAAGGAAAACTGTGTGTACTAAGAGAAACCAAAGTTTGATAGAAAATAATGTTTACCAAATTTCTGATACTCTCTTGGTGGGATGACGCAGGGGTCGATTACTCTTACAGTGCCCTTTCCCCCAGAAGACACGGAGTTGTTTCTGAGAACAATGCATTTCAACATCTGTTCAGTCAGTACGGGAGGATCTTTCCTTCACAGGAGCACCTGCAGGGCTGAATGTCAGGGATGGCACATGCTGGAAAGTTCATTTTACCTTGAAAAGATCTCTGGATCTCGTTCAGTACAATCAAAGAAGGACAAGGTTTCCTATATCTGATTCTTGTAGCCCATGACTTAAAAAACCTCTCTCACAACGTCCAGTTACCCTTAGAAGATACTTAGCACTACAGAGTAGGCCCATGTTGGAAGCATAGTAAAGAAATTACTTCCTGCCAGGCAATTAGCATGTCTACCTGCTAGTCAGCTTGTGCACATGTTGTTGTGCCACCAATCTCCACATTGGGTGGGACCTTGATAATTATAGACAATTACAGTGATCAGTTATGGATAATTATGGAACAGCAGGCCAAATTCCTCTCTATGGTTGCCTTTTACCCTGGCAGTGTTACACCATGGTTTGAGTGTGAAGCTTCAGCCTCTACATCTGCATCCTGCTGTCTGCCTGCAAGTAAACACAACTTTGTAGGTCAGGAGTTTGTCAGTTACATAATCAGCCACGTCTTAATGCCTGTGTGCCATCACGTATGGATATGGCTCTTTTATTAGGGATATAGCAAATCTTCCACCTTCAAGTGCTGCCCCCAAGAAAGAGCATCATTAGAAAAATAGAGCAGACTGAGCTTAAGAGAAAGTGGAAACTTGAAGCCTTGTATTTTGTCATTTACAGCTGCTGCTGTAACAATTAATTGCCTGCCCCTAACCAGATCATAGATGTTCGCCAGCCACACTTCATCCCGCCTCCCACACTGTGGCTGCACCAGAGGCTTGATTTCCAGCCTCTGGGCCATTTGCAGGCATGTGGAGAGCTTTAGGCTGTTCCTAAGGCAAGTGCCCCTCAAGCAGCTAATAAATTGCTTTGGGAAAAGGCAGGGGGTGCCAGCTGGACCTGGCCCACGAACTGGCAATTAGACTACACTGGGTTATTGAATGACCAGACAGAACTGCTCTCGATTTACTCTTCTAAGGGATAACATTCAGTTATAGCTCAAGCAATGCTTCAGCATGTTGGGGGGATGTTGAATCTTCTGTCTGAGGATTTTCAATAGTCTCCAGCAAGTAAAGATCAGAGACTGTGAGAATGCGCACATCCAGCACACCCATTTAACCCTCCCGAAGCCAGGAGCAGCAGAGCAGGCTGATGAACTGCACAGTCTCTGTCCTAAAAGCACAGAAACCTGAACTTGGGCTGATGAAGGGGAATTTCTTAAGGAACTCAAAGCTTTGTCTGATTTTCAAAGCATCTGCAGAGACCATTTATTAAGCTGTGGGATGATTTTTCAGCCTCTGACAACTGGGAAGTGAAAGAATGGAAGTTGACAGAGTTGCTTAGAGCTTTGTGTTCTGATTTGGATTTTCTAAATTCAGTTCTCTCTGAAGAACACTTCTGCATCCCTGGGAGCCTGTGCAGCAGTGCTGCTGGGGGACATGGTACAGGAAGGCTCCAGGCACTGCCACAGCCATATCAAACAAGCAACAACCAACATTCCCTTTCCTAACTGCTGACAAAAGGGATTAATCACACAAGCATGCTGTACATTACTACCTAGTTTACCCCAAAAGGTGCTTTTCAATTATTTAGGAAAGCCTAATGATCAGGAATATTTAGTTGTAGAATTGTATTCTTTTTTACCTACATAAGAGTGTGGTATTAAATAATGTTCTACTCTAAAGTATTGAGCCCATCACTGTATTACTGTGATGACTTCGCAGAGGTGAAAAGTGAAGCCAGAAGGAAAATGCAGGCCTCAGACACCAATGAAGTCAGGAAGAGGGGTACTAAAGAATTTAACAGAAAAACAGTAATATAATTTGCTGCTGCTTGTCATCAGCACCTCAGTCAGCTTGTCAGTGTTAGAAGTCTGGATTGTTCTTTCATCCCAACAACAAAAGAATGTCACTAGGATTTCCTAACCATTGAAGAGTTCAGATGAAGGGAATCTCTTAAAAAAATTTATAGAACCTCAAAAAAGCTTGAAAATTGAAGGGTTCTAGCAAAAAATACATGCTCTTACAC